GGCCTTTCTACCAACTCCGAGTAGGAATTTGGAAAAGGATATGTTTAATTTTTCTGAGGGGAATTTGTTTTGGTTTAAGTATGCTTCTTCTAGGTTTGAACTGGATACTTTGTTAAGACTGAAAGGGGCCCATATTTCAGCCCCATATAGACAAATTGGTTTTATCATTTGATCAAACAGTTTAAGCCCAAGCTGTGGTTTTATATCACTCTGTTGAAGGCATCTTTTAAGTTTAAAAATTGCCTTACTAGCTTTTTCATGTAGGTGTGTTTGAGCTGATATAAAGCTGCCTGATGCTCGAAATATCACACCAAGGTACTTGTATTCTTGTACACATTGAACTTGGAGTCTACCATATGAGAAATAGTCAGTGCAGAGATGCCCGTTTTTTGGAATTTAATTATCTTGGTCTTATTTATGTTGATATTAAGTTTCCACCTGTCACAATATTCTTTTAAGGAATCTAAAGATCTTTGTAATCCATGTTTAGAAGTCGAGAATAAAACAATATCATCGGCGTACATAAGCATGTTAATAATTTCTTTTCCAATAGATGGAGAGTCATTTTTATAGCCAATAGTATCGGGTAAGTCATTTAGGAATAAATTGAAAAGACAGGGGGACAACGGATCACCTTGTTTTACACCAATATTTGCTACTTTGAATACAGTTCTCTTCCCGAGGTCATTGTTTTTGATGCAAAATTTATTATTATCATACATGTTTTCAATGATTTTTAATGTTTTACCACGAATTCCTGAGTTTAAAAGCTTGAATATTAGTCCCCTGTGCCAAATCGAGTCAAACGCTTTTTGAAAATCAATGAAACAAGCATAGAGATGCTCTTTAGAGTTGTTTGATAAGTGTTTATCGATTAACGTTCGAAACACAAACATGTGATCTGATGTACGCGCTTTTTCCTTGAAGCCAATTTGATACTTACTAGATATATTATTTTTGAGTAGAAATGATTTAATTCTATTATTAAGGATAGTGTTGAACACTTTACCTAAGCAATTATTGATGGTTATTCCTCTATAGTTACTCATATCTGAAGGTTTACCAGATTTTAGAATGGATGATATGTAACCTTCATTCCATGATTTTGGATATTTTCCGCAATTAAGAATCTTGTTAAAAATGCTATTTAAGAATTTCAAGGATTGATTAATACTGTGTTTCACCATTTCATTTGATATTCCATCTAATCCACAGGCTTTTTTATTTTTTAAATGTTTGACAGCACCTAGAGTTTCATCATCATTTATGGTGTAATCAAGATCATTAAAAAAAGGTTCATTTTTTAGATTAGAGATTTTCTGTTCAATGTCATTATCTATTGTAGTTGCTGTGTTGAGCAGTGATTCGTAATAAAGTAATTGCTCGGATGAGGATATATGTCAAAAAGTACACAATTTCGTCAAAATGTAAGACACCCCATGAGACAAAACACTTATTATTTTCATGAAATTGGGAAGAAACACCATAAAAACATTTTAGAAAACTTATGTTTGATGATATTAAATCAACTGCTGTTTTATCTTATCCATACAGTGAAATCTATTGCTCATGATTATATGGCAATGCAAATTAATTTAGAAAGGGGACGTGGCACTTTTCCAAAGAATTCTTAAATTGTGTCCAAATTTTTGAAGAAAATAAATAACCAATTGTCCTGTTATTCACAGATATTATTCACATCATTATGTTTGACTATCGTGGAAAGTTTCATCAGTGTTGGTTTACTGGTTACTATAGTATGCAGATTTATACCCCCTTGGTATGATTTTAATGGGGGTACAATGAAAGCCATCTATAATTCCTAGAATATACAGCCAATCATCTTGATATTTACAGGTAATTGTCTACATATAATGTCTTACAACCATGACAATTTTCATCAATGTGTAACAATTGATTGCTATGGAAACATAAATCATTTTTTTCAAAAGTACACATTAAGGGAGGTACTATGAAAGCCATATATAATTCCTAGAATATCTAACCAATCATCTTGTTATTGGCAGGTAGTTATCTACTCACCATGTTCTTTCACTATGACAAATTTCATAAACGCAGGGCAAATGGTTGCTATGGTAACAGAAATCATTTGTTAAGAAGTACACATTAGGGCGTACTATGAAAGCCATTTATAATTTCTTAAATATCAGAACAATCATTATGATATTTACAGACAATCTACTACTTATCATGTCCTACCATGATGACAAGTTTCATCAATGTGGGTCAAATATGGGTAGAAATCTATTTGTTAAAAAAGTACACATTTTGTAAAAATTTAAGACATACCCTAAGACATTGAAAATGTTCATCAAATTGGGAGGAATTAGCATGAAAACACTTTAGAAAACCTATTTTGAGTATGTCTGATAATATTTAATCAATGGATATTTCATCTGGGCCATTTTATGCATTGTATTTGCTTATGATAATAAAACTATGCAGAATGCGGCTGTCACATTATGGTAGGGACATAGTAAATTATGAGCTGATCTCACTTAGTCATCTTTTATATCATTTGGATCAAAATCCTCATTCATAGATCTTTCAATGTCTACTTCTGTCAAAGTATCCGTGGCAATCTTTATATGACTATATTTCTATGAGATCATCAGGTGGAATGAGTTGGTCTGGCCAATTTGGCTCTATTTTGCCATCAACAAGTTACCACGTCACTTGTAATAAACAAACTAAGAGATATATACAACTATTACACCCAATTAAAAATACTGGAAATGTTTCTTAATGAATTCTAAAAACAATGAACATTTGAAAAAACCAGCAGACATTTAAAAGAACAACAGCATGTATTACTTTGAGTGTAAAACATATCTGTTGATGACCAGCGATGGCAATAAAGTGTCCACTGTTGTGATTGATGAGATGTGATAAGTTTTATGAAATGTTTCCGTGCTTATTTCTCCCAAAATGATGAACATATAATGTGCTTAATGTCAAAGGTTGCATAAGTCTTAGATTTGTACGAAAATGTGTACTCTTTTAACAAATGATTTCTGTTACCATAGCAACCAAATTACCAACATTGAAGGCACTTGTTATACTGGTAGGACATATAAACGGATGATTACCCATAAATATCAAGATGATTGATTGAATACTCTAGGAATTATACATGGCTTTCATAGTACCCCCTTAATGTGCACTTTTTAACAAATTATTTCTGTTACCAGAGCAACCAATTGACCAACATTGATGGCACTTGTCATACTGATAGGACATGATAAGCAGATGATTACCTGTAAGAATCAAGATGATTGATTAAATATTCTGGGAATTATACATAGTACCACCTTGATGTGCAATTTTTAACAAATGATTTCTGTTACCATAGCAACCAATTGACCAACATTTATGGCACTTGTCATACTGGTAAGACATGATAAGTAGATGATTACCCATAAATAGTACTATCAAGATGATTAATTGAATATTCTAGGAATTATACATAGTATCTCCTTAATGTGTACTTTTTAATAAATTATTTCTGTTACCATAGCTTTCAAGTGTTAAACATTGATGAAACTTGTCATAGTGGTAGTGCATTATAAGTAGATGATTACCTGTAAATATCAAGATGAATAGATGTATATTCTAGGAATTATAGATGGCTTTCATTGTACCCCCCTTAAAATCATACCAATGGGGTATAAATCTGTTTTACCATAGTAACCAGTAATCCAACACTGATGAAATTTTCCATGATAGTCAAACATAATAATGTGAAGAATATCTGTTAATTTCAGGACAAACGGTTACTTATTTTCTTCAAAAAGTTGAACACAAATAAAGAATTCTTTGGAAAAGTGCCACGTCCCCTTTCTAAATATACTTGTAATAGATTCCACTATGTGGATAAGATAAAACAACAGTTGATTTAATATTATCAAATATACTTTTAATAAGTTTTCTAAAATGGTTTCATGGTGATTCCTTCCCAATTTCATGAAAATAATATATGTTTTGTCTCATGGGGTATCTTACATTTTGACGAAAATCTGTATTTTTTAACATATGATCTCCATTTCCATAGCAACCAGTTGATCAACTTTAATGAAACTTGTCATAATAGTAGGACATGATAAGTACATGATTACCTGGAAAAATCAAGATGATTGGCTCTATATTCTAGGAATTATATATGGCTTTCCAAGTACCCCCCTTAAAATTACACCAGTGGGTATAAATCTGAATATTTCCAAAACGCTGAAAAACTAGACACCAATGATTTCAGAATCAATGTATAATAATAAACCACAAATAACCTACATGAAGAGAAATTTGTTACTTTTCAAAACCACTTTTACACCACGCTCATCCAGTATACGTTCCTTGCACTAGAACTACGATTCTCACATCGCGAAGGTGAAATCTTTAGTCGTGCGCCATCATTTCCTCGCTCCCGAACATATTTCTCTTCTCGCACACAGAGATCCGTGCTCGCGAACCTGAAACTTTTTTGAAGTGAAACTTTTTTCAGAACTGGGAATAAGCCCCCCCCCCCCCGCTAGCTTCTGGATCCACCATTAAAAATGGCAGCATTTTTATGGCTGTTCGATGGGATTTGGTACGCATTGGCGTTGCTGTTTCATTTCCAAATGTGATTCATTTAGACTAAACTGTATGTACTATGCATATGATATAATAGTTGACCCAAGAAATAAGATTGGATTTGACATGGGTTTTCAAGAGACTCTTGAAAGCCCATGGACCATCAAAGACTGCCCATAATATATACAGATCAATGCTCATTTGTAAGAAAGTGTAGCGTTACACATAGAAAGATGTGTTACATATTTGATGATACCAAGAGACCTTAAATATCCGCAAATGCAAACATCAAATCCACAAGGAAATATCATGTTTTAACGATTTGATACTGTAGTTATAGAATACTAGTTATAGACTTTCAATTAAACAAATAAGCAAACAAAATATCATGACATGTAAAGTTTACTTACAGGCTGTTGTCGATCTGTTATGGCAGTCGTTGCATCATTTTCTGATGCATTGTCAGACCTTCCAACATTTTTCCGACTTCCAGCATCTTGTGAATCCATTGAACCTTTCCTACTTTCATTAATTCCTGAAAGGGTAGAACCTTTCCTACTTTCAGCATTTTCTGACTGAGTAGAACCTTTTCTACTTTCAACATTTTCAAGATGAGCAGAACCTTTCCTAATTTCGGCATTTTCTGAATGAGCAGAGCCTTTTCTACTCTCAGCATTATCTGGGAGAGCAGAACCTTTCCTACTCTCTGCGTTTCCTGAATTACAATCTTTTCTACTTATAGCATTTTCTAAATGAGCAGTACCTTTCCTACTCTCAGCGATTTCTGTTTGAACAGAACTTTTCCTTATTTCGGTATTTTCTGAATTGACAGAATCTTTTCTAAATGTACTTCCAGCATTTTCTGAATGTGTAGAACCTTTTCTACTTGCTATTTTTTCTAAATGAGCTGAACTTATCCTACTTTCAGCATTTTCTAATGAAGCAGAACCTTTCCTACTCTCACCGTTTTCTGGGAGAGCAGAACATTTCCTATTTATAGCATTTTCTGAATGAGCAGAACTTTTTCTAGTTTCAACATTCTCGGAATAAGTAGAGCCGTTTTTAATTCCAGCATTTTCTAATTGAGCAAAACCTGTTTCGCTTACACTAATTTCTGAATGAACAGAATCATTTCTACTTTCAACATCTTTTGAATGAGCAATACTTTCTGAATGAGGAGAACCTATTCTTCTTTTAACAAAAGCTTCCCTACTTTCTGTATTTTCTGAGAGAGCAGAACCATCCTTACTTTGAGTAATTTCTGAATGAGCAGAACATTTTCTACTTTCAGACTTCCCTGAATAAGCAGAACCTTTCTTGCTTTTAGCATTTTCTGTCTGTGCAGAAACTTTCCTACTTTCAGCAATTTCTAAATAAGCAGAACCTTTTCTACTACTTACAATATTTTCTGAATGAGCAGAACCTTTCCTACTTTCCAGATATTCCGAATGAGCAGAACTTTTTCTACTTTCCGCATTTTCTGATTGAGCAGAACCTTTATTACTACTTAGAGTATTTTCTGAATGAGCAGAACCTTTCCTACTTTCAGCATTTTCTGAATGAGCAGAACCTTTTCTACTTTCAACATATTCTGAATGAGCAGAGCCTTTCCTACTTTCAGCATTTTCTGAATGAGCAGAACCTTTCCTACTTTCAACATATTCTGAATGAGCAGAACCTTTCCTACTTTCAACATATTCTGAATGAGCAGAACCTTTCCTACTTTCAACATATTCTGACTGAGCAGAACCTTTTCTACTACTTACAGCATTTTCTGAATGAGCAGAAGCTTTCCTACTTTCTACATATTCTGAATGAGCAGAACCTTTCCTACTTTCAACATATTCTGAATGAGCAGAACCTTTCCTACTTTCAACATATTCTGACTGAGCAGAACCTTTTCTACTACTTACAGCATTTTCTGAATGAGCAGAAGCTTTCCTACTACTTACAGCATTTTCTGAATGAGCAGAAGCTTTCCTACTTTCTAAATATTCTGAATGAGCAGAACCTTTCCTACTTTCAACATATTCTGAATGAGCAGAACCTTTCCTACTTTCAACATATTCTGACTGAGCAGAACCTTTTCTACTACGTACAGCATTTTCTGAATGAGCAGAAGCTTTCCTACTACTTACAGCATTTTCTGAATGAGCAGAAGCTTTCCTACTTTCTACACTTTCTGAATGAGCAGAACCTTTCCTACTTTCAACATATTCTGAATGAGCAGAACCTTTCCTACTTTCAACATATTCTGAATGATTGGAACCTTTCCTACTGCTTACAGCATTTTCTGAATGAGCAGAAGCTTTCCTACTTTCTACATATTCTGAATGAGCAGAAGCTTTCCTACTTTCAACATATTCTGAATGAGCAGAACCTTTCCTACTTTCAGCATTTTCTGAATGAGCAGAACCTTTCCTACTTTCAGCATTTTCTGAATGAGCAGAACCTTTTACAGTATTTTCTGAATGAGCAGAACCTTTCCTACTTTCAACGTATTCTGAATGATCAGAATCATCCCTACTTTCAGTATTTTCTGAATGGACTGAACCTTTCCTACTTTCAGTATTTTCTGAATGGACTGAACCTTGCCTTTCAGCATTTCCTGAATGAGCAGAATCTTTTCTAGTTGTAGCATTTTTCGAATGTGCAGAACCTATCCTACTTTCAGAATTGCCTGAATAAGTAGAACCTTTCCTCCTTCCATCATTTTCTGAATGAGCAGAACCTTTTCTACTTACAGCACTTTCTGGATGAGAACCTTTTTTACTTACAAAAAAATCTGAATGAGCAGATCTGTTTCTACTTACAGCATTTTTTGAATGATCAGAACCTTTCCTACTTTCAATATTTTCTAAAAGAGAAGAGCCTTCACTACTCTCCATATTTTTTGAATGAGCAGGACCATTTCTACTTTCAGCATTTTCTGAATGAGCAGAATCTTTCCTTCCTTCAAAATTTTCTAGATGAGCAGAACCTTTCCTACTTACATCATTTTCTGAATGAGCAGAACTTTTCCTACGATTAACATTTTCGAAATAAGCAGAGCCTTTCCTAGTTCCAGCATTTTCTGAATTAAGAGAACCTCTTTTAGAACTTTCTGAACAAGGAGAATCCCTTTGGCGTGTAGTACTTTCTGAATGATCCGAACTGTTCCTACTTTCAACATTCTCTAAATGATTAGGATCTCTTTTGTTTTTCACATCTTCTGTAGTAGCAGAACGACTTCGACTTGTAACATTTTGCAATTCATCATCTGTGGTTCTTTGGTTACTTTCTTTTGCCTCATGGAATATTTCATTAGAATAGTCATCCATTGAAATTGTGTTTTTTTCTTCAGTTTCTTTAGTTTTGTTATCTGGTTGGATGTTTTCGTGTATGGATATATTAACCCTTTCATCTACAACATTTTGAGAGTCTTTTGAGTCATTCCTTTCATGTGATGATATGCTACGGATCACTTCTTTTGTAGAATACTTGCACGATTTAGTTCTTTTCTTCTGAGAATTCAGTTTTTTGTTTTGCTCAGTTTTCTTTTGGCCGTGTATCATTGTTTTCAAAGTGGCCAATTGCTTTTTAATTGGTCGTTTTGATGATTTCACGACATGTTTAAACGTTTTCGATTCCTCATTTTTAGGCCTAAAATAACAGAAACTGTAGTGTGTACATAAATGGTTCAAATTGTGTTTTCCTAACCATGAGCTTTCTTTTGAAAGCCCATGTCCAAACTTAAAATCTGTAAGAATAATTTAGCAAAACATGAACTTCTTATAACCAATTTCTTTTCAGTATTTTATCTTTAATAATTGATAATAAAACTTTGTTTAAAAAGTAGAAAAATGAGTGCTTAATACAGGGTAGGAACATCTAAGTGCACAGGATCCTATGCTACTCTATGCATTGCATGATGTGCTTGGGCTACACACAAACATTGAAATAATTTAATTTGAACCACTGTGTGATTATTTATATTTTTTGTAAGGACCAAAATACACACAAATATAGACACCATTTAGTGTATGGTACAATGCTAATGAGTCAATGGAATAGTATGGTCATGGATCAAATCTTGATTGAATATTCAAATCGATGCATATATTGTGAACAATATACTGTATCCAATAGTACATATATGAAAGCACAATTTTCTTTTTAAGAACTAATGTCAAGTACATTTCTAATTTATAAAACAGTAATCCAATACATCTAAGAAACTGCACTTTCATTAAGATGTGAAACATCAATAAAGTGTCAAATGCATATTAGAAATGTTACAACTCATAAATTTTGAATACAAGAAGTATCCCATGCATATTTAAGGGTATTAACATGAATTTTTTTTTCAAATGGTGAATGTAACAATTAGTTACAGATGTCATGGGCAGTTTATCTGATGGAATGCCCATGCAGATGTCAACCATCAATGATGACCACTAAATGCCAGTTATAAATGAAACAAAAATGGTAGCTTCAACAATATATCACTGGTTCTATTCTTGGAAGTAACATAAAAACTGCATCTAAAAGTTGTACTAAAACCATTTACTCGATTTAGATAAATTTACAGGGTGTCAAATAGGTCCCGTCCCCCCTGCTACAGCTAAAACCTTAATAGATGGTACCTAGTGTGATATATCATTGGAAAGATCCTTCAAAGTTATGTTAACTCACCAACTCTCAAGTATTTTGGATGAAATTCACCTATATTTTCATGATGTCCTTTATAGTAAGTTAAGCAGCTCTTATTGCGTCAAAATGAGAAGGGTATGACCTCAGAAATACGTCAAAAAGTTAATCTTTTTCACATTCCACTTGTTACAAAAAGTTTTTCACCATTATTCCTAGCACCTCTATTTTCTACACACATACTATGTCCCGACCTCATGTACATTTACAGAATTACTAACACGTAATATTACATCTATTTTCGGAAGACTCTTGGACAACGGTTTTAGCATAATATATAACATGTTAGATATCAAAACATAGGTAATTGAAATTAAAATTATATGGTGTATTAATATCTAATTTTTATTTTATATTTTTAGATAAAGGACGCTTAAAAGACTCTATTGAGATTTAAAGTGCACATTTTTACCATGTAAAACGTTGCATTTGATAATTTTTATTTGAAAAATGGTAATTTGGTCATAACTTTTTTATTCCTCAACCAATTTAGTTCAAATTTGGTATGGGACAACAATTGCTGATGGGCGTTTATGACGTCACATGATCTTGTTACGTCATCCACGCATATCCGCCATCTTGGATGCTAGAACTAGAACTTAACGTTAAAAATATATGTTTTGTATTCATTTTGTTTACATAGCAAACATTTTGCGACTTGTGTCTGTTTTGTACCAAGAAAAAAATTGATAGAAATATGGCTTGTTTCAAAGACTCTCGTCATTTCAATACACGAAATTATGTTTTTCTAGTGACATTCAACTAGATTTTTTATAATGTCATAAACGCATTGCCCTTATACTACTTTGTCACTGGTGATCCACTCGATTACGCTGGTTACCAAAACGAACCGTTTTGGTAACAAAATGTCGGAACGTCGAAGGCACGATTTTTCTTTTTTCCTTATTTCACGCGTTGTAGGCAGAATCCCCACGACGTTTTTTTTCAGAATGTGCATCAGTATCATATGTTTTAGAAAATGTACATGTTTGCGAAAAAAATAGCTCAGAAGACAACAGAATCGTCGATTTACTTCCTCACTTAAGTTACATAAACGGTTTTTTCGAAAAACAGTTAAGATCTGCACTTTTAACCGAAACCGTTTATGTAACTTAAGTGAGGAAGTAAATCGACGATTCTGTCGTCTTCTGAACTATTTGTTCGCAAATATGTACAATTTCTTAAACATATGATACTGATACACGTTTGTGTTAAAAAATGTCGTGGGAATTCTGCCTACAACGTGTAAAATAAGGAAACGAGAAAAATCGTACCTTCGATGTTCCGACATTTTGTTACCAAAACGAACCGTTTTGGTAACCAGCGTAATCGAGTGGATCACCAGTGTTTGTGTCAAATCTGAATCTGGTATTACCTTATACTTGGAGAACATTGAGATATGTGAGGGTGAGACTAATGAGGATATCAAACACCAGGTGTCAGCAAATGCTAAAATTCAAAATATACGTATTATGCAAAGCTATGTTGTGCATAATAAAGTGTCCCAGTATAGAGTTGGATGCAAAATTATTGTGCCAAAATCCAATGTTGAACGTGCAATGTCCCCCTCTGCTTGGCCTTCTCCAGTGCAATGCAGAGAATGGGTGCCAAAAGGCCGTCGTAATAATGCTCCCAGGCTTGATGATATTGATTATGACAACATTTACCATGCTTCAAAAGAGTATACTTCTTACATTGATTGGCGTGATTCCTGCGTTGAAGAATGTTATGAGGAATGATGGTTCTGACGAACATTATCATTATTTGTGCTTACATCGTCCTTATTCCTTACACCCAGTACTTTCAATATACATACTAGTAACTACCAAAATATGAAAGCAGCAGATAATCTTAAAATAACTGCATGGAATGCGAATGGTTTTAATGCCAGCAGCCCTTATTTAAACTCATTGCTCGATAAAACTGATATTCTCTGCCTCACAGAACATTGGTTATATCCAGGTTCGCTAAACAAACTGTGTGATATTCATCCTGACTTTACTTGTGTTTGAGAAAGTAGTACCACACTTGATCCCCTAAATCAAGGTCACATAATTGGAAATGGTGGAATTGCTATTTTCTGGAAAAAATCGTTAAACCAAAATATTATTCATGTTACGAAATACAAAAGTGATAGATACATGGTTATTAAAATATTAAGACCTGGTATTCATCACCTTTATGTTATTTGTGAGTATTTACCACATGTGCGATGTAAGAATGATAACTTCCTTGAGGTATTAGATAGGCTTGAGGTGATAATTAATGATTTACAAGGTGATGGTGACACTGTTTTAATGGGTGATTTTAATGCTGATTTTGGCAAGAACATTGGTACAAGGGGGGGGGGGGGGGGCATGGTCAATCTCGGCTAATGGTGTAAACCTGTTAAATATGTGTAAACTTAACGCCAGTTGACATGCTCCCTATGTGTCAAGGTCCAAATTACACCTTCTTTAGGGACTACACGGGTCAGTCTTATATTGATCATTGCATTTTGAGTGAACGACTAGTGGGTGTCTACAAAACTAAGACCTAAGACCTACAAAACTAAGACCCCCCACGTTATAAAACTAAGACCCTGTTATAAAACTAAGACCCCCCACGTAATAAAACTAAGACCCTGTTATAAAACTAAGACCCCCCACGTAATAAAACTAAGACCCTGTTATAAAACTAAGATCCCCTACGTAATAAAACTAAGACCCTGTTATAAAACTAAGACCCCCACGTTATAAAACTAAGACCCTGTTATAAAACTAAGACCCCCCACGTTATAAAACTAAGACCCTGTTATAAAACTAAGACCCCCAACGTTATAAAACTAAGACCCAGTTATAAAACTAAGACCCCCCACGTTATAAAACTAAGACCCTGTTATAAAACTAAGACCCCCCTGCGTTATAAAACTAAGACCCTGTTATAAAACTAAGACCCCCCACGTTATAAAACTAAGACCCTGTTATAAAACTAAGACCCCCCGCGTTATAAAACTAAGACCCTGTTATAAAACTAAGACCCCCACGTAATAAAACTAAGACCCCCCCACGTTATAAAACTAAGACCCTGTTATAAAACTAAGACCCCCACGTTATAAAACTAAGACCCTGTTATAAAACTAAGACCCCCCACGTTATAAAACTAAGACCCCCCACGTTATAAAACTAAGACCCTGTTATAAAACTAAGACCCCCGTTGTTATAAAACTGAGACCCTGTTATAAAACTAAGACCCCTCACGTTATAAAACTAAGACCCTGTTATAAAACTAAGACCCCCACGTTATAAAACTAAGACCCTGTTATAAAACTAAGACCCCCCATGTTATAAAACTAATACCCTGTTGTAAGAATCAGTCACCGTGCCTTGCTCTGCTGGCCGCAAGGTAGTCTTGCCTCTGGGCCTTGTGTTCCCCAGTTACATACAGATTCTACAAAAGATAGTCTTGCTTCTGGTCCTTGTGTTCCCTTCTAATATACAGATTCTCCCCACTAACATAAAGATTCTACAAAAGGTAGTCTTGCTTCTGGTCCTTGTGTTCCCTTCTCACATTCAGAATCTACACATGGTAGTCTTGCCTCTGGCCCTTGTTTACCCTAGTAACATACACATATGGTAGTCTTGCCACTGACCCTTGTTTTCCCTAGTAACATACACATATACATAAGGTAGTCTTGCCTCTGACCCTTGTTTTCCCTAGTAACATACACATATACATAATTTTAAGGTAGTCTCAAAATTTCAAAGCTCCTATCATTTAGAGCAATATGTTGGACACATTTTCTGAAAATTCAAAATATTCTGTTCAGTGACCTTTCCGATACTCTTACTTTTAACTTTTTTCAGTCACATTTTCAGAGGGCTGAAAAACCTATTTTCAGCATGGTTAGGGTCTTACTTTTACAACAGGGTCTTAGTTTTATAACGTGGGAGGTCTTAGTTTTATAACAGGGT